CACCTACAAACAAACAAGATTTCTGGCTCTCACAGACCTGTAACTTCTTCTTTAAGAGCCTCCTCTGTCCTCCACTTGTTAACTGTATTAATGGCACCTGTTTGAACTCGTTATCAGTATAAAAAACACCTGTCCACAACCTCAAACAATCACACTCCAAACTTCACTATGGCCAAGACCAAAGAGCTGTCAAAGGACACCAGAAACAAAATTGTAAACCTGCACCAGGCTGGGAAGACTGAATCTGCAATAGGTAAGCAGCTTGGTGTGAAGAAATCAACTGTGGGAGCAATTATTAGAAAATGGAAGACATACAAGACCACTGATAATCTCCATCGATCTGGGGCTCCACGCAAGATCTCACCCCGTGGGGTCAAAATGATCACAAGAACGGTGAGCAAAAATCCCAGAACCACACGGGAGGACCAAGTCAATGACCTGCAGAGAGCTGGGACCAAAGTAACAAAGGCTACCATCAGTAACACACTACGCCGCCAGGGACTCAAATCCTGCAGTGCCAGACGTGTCCCCCTGCTTAAGCCAGGACATGTCCAGGCCCATCTGAAGTTTGCTAGAGAGCATTTAGATGATCCAGTGTCTTGATCGGTTTCCGGGTCAAGTCCCGGAGGAGGGAGAGAGGAGAGACATTAAGATGAACCTATTGTGTCAGTGTAGTAAGGGTACTGCAAATACTGAAGTCAATAAACAGAAGTAAACTGCTAAAAGTCATCTTTATCATACTCAACTAGTAATAAGGGGTATATTGCACCGCTTTCCTCATACTTGACCTAAAAAAAGTTTTCATAAAAGTTGGTATACTAGGACCTCATGAGGTCTTTAAATATGGAAAAATGGATGATAAAAATAAGGCTGTAGTAAATGTTTTTTCTTTCTCCCTCCTAGCAAACTCCATTTTCAGTTTGATTTGAATTATCTTTAGATTATGGGTTGACAGATCGGTCTCACCTGTCCTTTTCCTGGGTTCTCTTTGGGGATGAGCAGAGACACCACGGAGCCATACTTCTGGCACTCCTCTTTCATGTCCTCCAGGATTTCTGGGAGAAACAATGACAGATAATTGGACATACTTTCACTCGTGCTCACTTAGAAGAATCGGGAAATCATCATCAAAATGAATTTGGTTAGATTAAGTTTAGGAAAGAATGGTGTACCTTCATACTCTTCTTCATTGTGCAGATGGCTATCATCAATCAGGTTGAGGAGGCGCAGGACAGGAGTGGGCAGCAGGACCAGGTCTTCAATGTGAGGAGCTGACACATTCTCACACACACACACACACACACACACACACACACACACACACACACACACACACACACACACACACACACACACACACACACACACACACACACACACACACACACACACACACACACACACAGGTAAATGTTAAATGTGTGATATTGGGCTACATAAATAAACTCTGATTGATTTATTGATTGACAGACACACAAAAAAAACACAAGTTTAACAATACTGCCAAAATCTTCTATGAGAGTATTTGTTATTTAAAATCACGTGACACTTTAAAATTGTGTTAATAACAATAATAAATGGTTTGAAAAGCCAAACACTATTCTACTTAATCACAATTGATTATTTTCTTTCTTTTATTTATGCCTCACATGAGACAACACTTTTGTTTTTTAAAGGATGTAATCTATTATCTCATTGTTTTAGAATTTACCAATTTATTTCTGTCTAATTTAGATTTGTGGCATATTTTGAGTTCTCTGCCTTAAGTTGCTCGTCTTTGTACTTGCTGTTTGGTTTGTTCTCACACGTATGACAGTATTTGCAGCTTGGCGTACCTGCAGCTTCTCGATGATGTTCTTGTAGTCCCAGGGGTTGCTGGGGGCGACGGGTCTGGAGGAGCGGGACGAGGACTTGTAGTTCGGGTTGGAGCGAGACAGAGAGTTGAGAGCGGAGCTGGACAGCATGGAGCTGATCTGAGACTCCAGGTCCAGAGGCAGCGCGATGGAGCGGCTCTTAGCTGAGGAGAAACCATCAAACATCAATAACTTCACTGCAGCAGAGAGAAAACACTGTTTAAACTTTTGCGTTTTTTTGAATGCAGGACTTTTGTATTGTAACAAAGTAATTTTTCTAAGTAGTATTGCTACGTTTACTCATGTAAGTCATGATTGTTGTATTCATCTGCAGTAGAGCTTGTTATACTGATATTGTATACATCTAGGTGGTTTGATTTAATGTATGATAATGCAGGGTTTTAAAGTTCCCCTATGATACTGTTT